GTGAACTATGTTGGGATTCTAATGTATATAAAGTTCTTCTCTTTGTCTGTCTGTCTGTCTGTCTGTCTGTCTTGACGCAGGATGACAGAAAGTTGAAATAGGCCAACGGGGAGAGAGTGAGAAAGACATCAAGAGAGAGAAAATGAAAGATGGAGACAGAAACAGAGTGCAAGAGGAAGAGATAATGAGAAAGAGAGCAAGCGAGGGAGAGTGAAAGAGAAAAGAGAGAAAATGAAAGAAGACAGAAAGAGTGCAAGAGGAAGAGAAAGATAGTGAGAGAGGACTCATCATATTAAACTATGAGTGCGAGATGGACACAGCAGGACAGCGGAGTGTAAAAATATTAACACTATCTATAAAACACACAAGACAATGAATCGCCTGAAGATTAACCTAACCTAACCTATAGGTAACATTACGATGGTTAATCTTCAGGTGAAATAAGCTGGGGGCAAATCTTTAGGTGATGGAAGACAAGTTCTACTGTGTTACTTTTTCGAACACGAAGAAAAATTACTAAAAACACAAACAAGAAATACAAGATGTTCAGGGAGCAACACACCAAAACTAGACCATATAAGGAAAGTTTCTGTGTTGGCTCGCGTCGCCTCACGCCATGAAGTTTTTCCACACATAGCGGTCATTTTCACAAAGGGATTCCGTTCATGGAGGGTGGAGGTTGGTACTGTGGATCATTTGAAGATTAGACATCCCAATTTATTTCACATGATTATTAAACACCCTAACGCTACCTGTTGGGTTAGGTTATAGGTAAGGTCATAAGGTTTAGTTAGGTTTAGCTATTGTTGGGTTAGCGTAACGTTAGGTTAAGTTAGGTCAGCGTTAGGTTAGTTTAATCTGCAGGTGATCCGTACTTTCCACAAACGTTCGTCTACGTGCCACAACACGCGCACAGCGTAGGGAGAGGATCATTTTTCACCTGGTCGTAAAGTTCAAGGTTGTTGCCAGTTGTGGTCTGTAACACTCCGGTGACCGCCCATGAGGTTCACAGGTAAACAGGGGGATCAATTGAAGATTAACTTCAAGCTTACTTCACCTTAAGATTAACCACCAGTATATTTCACCTTAAGATTTACCCCAAGCTTATTTCACCTTAAGATTAACCTGCAGCTTATTTCACTTAAGATTAACCCCCAGCCTTTTCCACCTTAAGATTATCCCCCAGCTTATTTCACCTGGGGTTAATCTAAATGTGAAATAAGCTTGGGATTAATCTTAATGTAAACGGTGCTGTCATGGATGTTGTTTATGCTTGGGAGTGTGTAAGATAAGATGCTCCTCTAGGTGTGATATACCTATGCCTGGGTGACAGACGGGGAGATAAAGGAAGGAAACAAAAAATAGAAAATAGGAAAGAAATGAGATGAGATGAAGGAAGATTAGAGATACGGAAATAGATAAGGTAGAGAGAGAGAGAGAGAGAGAGAGAGAGAGAGAGAGACCGCCCACCAGATGCAGCTTCTCATGGTCAGTGAACCTGCCCTGCCCTGCCCTGCCCTGCCCACCCCACCATCCCACTCGCCACAACATGTAATACATCATTACTCTTAATATGGCATATTATGATTTCCTATAATATATCACCATTCTGAACATATTATGATATCTTGTAATATGCCACAACTGTTAATAAGGCATATTGTGATATCTTGCAATAAATGAATGTCATGTTATCTCTCTTGCAATATATTAACTTCTCCACCCTAGCATAATATATCATCTACACACACACACACACACACACACACTTCCTAACATTATTTAGCACTACTCTTGTCTTCAATATTCTTTATATACCTCCTATGTTACTCTGTTTCATCATACACTTCCCTTTAATTACTGACACATTTCAGCTAAATTTAACAAACTATCATTATATATTTTCTAGGACGTGTTATCTTCTGTATCTTACTCAGGTGGTGAGAGGGCAGGGGTGGAGACAAGAGAGAGAGATGGGGGGGAGGTGCATGGAGGCAAGAGACAGAAGAGAGACATGGAGAGAAGAGTTATCACCTTCTCCTTCCATTTGCCTTATTAATATCCTTTCACTCTCACAGAAATATCCCCCAAACAACTCCATGTCATCATACTCACTCACTCACAATATAATTCTTGCTTTTCAGATTAAGGCAGCGACCACTTGATGCTCCTGAGTAAAAACTAGTTGCGAAACCCCATTGAATTGCTAAAACCACACGCGACTCCTGCCTTATGACCCGGGGGTGAAGGTCGCAGGCGGGGGTGTTTGCGGGCTTGCCTCTCTTGGACCCCACAACTGTTTAGAGGGACACAGATCAAACTTCAGCCGACAGTATTCCACAAGTCAGTCTCCCACTAGGTCAGTGTCAGTACTTAAATAATCTTCTTCTACCATCTCAAAATTGCTTGTCTTAAAACTCAGACTGGGATATAAGTGTGTTGTGATTTTGTCCTCCAATTCCAGTTAGTTCTTCGGACTCCAGGAGAAAACGTTCGTCTTGAACACAGTGTGACACAATGGCCCGGAAAATGTACTGTAAATTCCTCGCTCGCACTTAATCTAATGTAATAATTACACAGCTGGAGGCTTAATAAGGCTAAGTTTATGTATGTATGTATATATATATATATATATATATATATATATATATATATATATATATATATATATATATATATATATATATATATATATATATATAAAACAAAGAAGTATGTCTGTTTGTGTGTGTGTGTCCGCACGAGAATCTCGGAAACTACTTTACTGATCTGTAGTGATGATGGGTGGTGTTATATGTAGTGATGATGGATGTTGTTATATGTAGTGATGATGGGTGGTGTTATATGTAGTGATGATGAATGGTGTTATATGTAGTGATGATGGATGGTGTTATATGTAGTGATGATGGATGATGTTCTATGTAGTGATGATGGGTGGTGTTATATGTAGTGATGATTAGACAATAAAATAATAACAGTTTAATGCTAAAAAAAATATACTTTGCTGCACCGTTGTGGTGAAAAACATGGTGGAACTTACATACACCGTTAATGAACTATTGATGGAAGAAGTTTTGGGGACTGAACAGTGAGACAGAGTGGAGCCTACCGGAGGGTGGCGTCCTACCGTGGCCTAGCGAACTTGTGGTAAATTATCTTACACATTTCCATGGTACATTTTGCCTTACAGTAGCTAGTGGGAACAAGTGAGATATTATGAAAGTCATGTTGTGAAGGTCGCAATATTATAATGTAGGTGAGGTTAGGGAAGGTAGAGGAGAGCGAGGTTGGTGTTGGTTAAAAGCACCTCACCCACCATCACCCCTCCATGGCCCTACTCCTCCCTCCCGGGTTATTGAGGTGTACGGCATCAGACAGAATCCCACAGAATAATATTCCACCAGTCAATTTCTCACTGTACAAATTCGCATTAAAGGAAATCCACCTGATTCCTTTCCCACTAACCAAGATCCGGCCGCCCAAACCGTAAACTGGATCAACTCCTCTCAGCATCGCGTCAGCTGAAGTTAGTCTAAGAACCTGCTGAGATTCTCTTGAGTTTACCATAATAACAAGATCCATTTAATTAAACTTTACTCTATTTACTCTACTTTGTAATTCTAATAATTTCCAGACTTAATATTCACTCGACTTCCTTTTATATTTCGACAACGTGCACTTCTTGTGATTAAAGTTCACTAATTATTATAAAGTTTCTAGATTAATTTACTGACTATGCCTGGCAAGTATGTTTAAGGAAGAGGAGTTCTGTTAAAGGCAAGATTATAAACTAGATACAGCTGTAAGATCAAGGTTACGTCTCCAGTAAACACCGACCCACATAAGGTGAGACTAAACATTTTAAAACCTCTGTAAGTGAATGATACACGTAATATTCTAAACCATTATAGGATATTTACCCCTAAATGAACGCCAATAACACGTAAAAATGTTCATCATCAATTGCAAGTAAACTGCGCCACAGTAGTTTAAGCAGCTATGATACACACTTGGATATAATTAATCTCTAAAACAGAATTATCAACCAGCATCAACAACCAAACTCAGTGAAAATATTTATAATATTATATAAACGGAGAAGTACACGAGTCAGGTAAGTGAGAAGTACACGAGTCGGGTAAGTGTCCTCGTTGGAGATTCTTGCGTCAACATCTTCGTTCTGTATACTTCTTATGTATATGCACGTCAACCGTGTTCCTTAACTGATATTGGCGTAATTTCTTGGGTATTCATAGTAAGCACTTGTGATTGAAAACTAATAAACTATATACTTATGGTGGGAGGAAAACTGTGTTGTAACTGTAAATCAGATAATACAACTTTGTCCAGTTCAAGAGTGACGCAGGAGGCATCTGAGGCGACATGTGGACCATATCAAGGTAGTGTTATTAACATATGATTTTGTGTAGGATCGTACCTGTAGCGAAGATGGCGTGGGATATGTCCTGCGATGATCCTGCGGTAACCGCCATGGGCACAAGGACGTGTTAACGCGCACACCTCCCACCAGCTTTCGCCTATTGTCAGTTTCTTCCTTGTAAAACATTAATTCACCTTCCCCTTTGGAGGGCTACTTCATTTGCTAACTGTAGTGGCATGAATTACCTCTTTCCCAAGTTTGGAGGAACAAATGAATGTCAATGTTAACCTGGAGGAAGGTTACCGTTACTAGCGTGGGCAGCCGTCCCGGCTGTAGGAGGCACCCGGGCTAGGTGCTCATTGTTGCCACAACTACCACTCCATTTATTCTTCCGTTGCATTATTAGTTTTCCTTGCTCTGATCAACAGTGTTGAAATAAGGCAAATGAGCTACACTCGGTGTGTAACATGTAAAATTAAGCTTAAATTATAGATCTATGCTTATTTTTATGGAGATTTTTAAACGTAATTTAATCGCATAAAGGGTTTGTTGTTTCATGGATGTGGCAATAGTGTGGGAGATGAACAGCGAGTAGGGTGAGCCACACACAGTGGAGACGACCTGCCCGGTGCTCCTCCGTACATTGACTGGTCACTGCTGAGCTCACTGCTACTCGCCAGTGTCCTGTGTCATCAACAGTGATCTATTCTTTCGTGCACATAAGCACTCGAGCGTTTAGTTGATAGTGTGTGCGTTGTGATAGTTCCTGGTGTAATATAATTTACCTTCGTGTGCATGGGTTACGTCGAGTACCTAACTTGTCTAATCCAGATATCCCACGTGGACATCGTTAATGTGTAGTACTTAAGTAGTGAGAGTGGTTGGTGGTAGGTGAGTCAGTGACAACATCTTGTACAGGACCTCCAGCGACCACCTCACTAGTGGGTAAGTACCCAATTACATTCGCTCGTTTTAACACATTTCAACTTTGGGTTAGTGGTTACAGAACACAACAGAGAAGTTGTCATATCGTAGTAGCGTTTAAAGTCCTGTTGGTCATTTAGATTAGAAGGTTTTAATGGAAAGTTAATTACAGTTTTCCATAACACTTTCTCGTTGCAGCAATTTATACCTTAAAAGACACAGCACACACACACACTTACCTGTTATTAATTACCAGCTTAACGACAGGTAGTAATTTGAGTCGATGTAAAAGGGTTACATTTACTAATTGCAGTTTCCATGTGGATCTTAACCAAAAATTTGATGCTACTGTTCATGGTTAAAGCAACAATCAGAGTACGTCTGTATTAAGTCCAATAGTGGGCTGGGCTTTGAAGTCGGGGGAAAATATGGGGTAGAAATATTCACTTCGAAAGCCTAGTGTCGTCCAAAGAGGTGTCAGTAAAATAACAGTTTGCTATTTGAATTTATTGAGTAAAGAATCATGAGTACGTGCATTCATATTAATCATATATAGATATTTACCGAGTATAAAGCATAGACTATTATTAATACTAATTTCCAATGTGGTCCTCGGTTTGTTAATCAATATTTAATACTATAGAAGCTAAGACCTACTGTATGCAGATGATTTAGTACAGTAGAGGATACGATACCTACCGAAATTTAAATCCGTGGTCCAATAATTTCAGTCGATATGATTTTGTCATTGCCGCTCACTATGTAGCTTTCAGTATTTCTTTAAACGCGGTGACTTGTGTACAGAGAATGGTTTAGGAGGCCTTTTAGTGTGACATGTATAGTTTGGAGTGGACAAATATGCACTCTAATAAATCGATGAGTAATATACATGTTATTGTATCTTAAATCTTTTCTCTATCACTCAAGGTTGTTGGTTTTTTATTCCAGTAACCTAAATGACTACTGCATTTTAGGACTTTGCGAAGAATATTTATGTTCTTCCCAATGATATGATCAGATTTTATTCCTACTGATTTTTAGGTTACTGCTTATTGCACGTCTTGAAATATAGTACAGTAATTATATTAGGGTTCTCGAATAAAAAAATCATGACTTCCTTCGCCTTATCATGGTGTTCTCTTACTAGGATTTCTATGACAACAAAAGGTGTGTAGACATTGTCATCACTCACAAACTGATATTAGATATTACTAAATGTTTTGCTTATAACAGGGAGGTGCTTCTTAATAAAATGACCCTTTTGATTAGGTGTGGGAGCAGGAGCACTATCCGTAAGCAGTGGAAGGCGCGAAAAGAACGTCTATACCCTGTATGCCAACCTGGCCACTCAACAGTAAGGTATGTATGGGAGTGCTGAGGGAAGGTGTGGTGCGTGGGCGTGATGAGGGAATGTGGGATGTGTGGACGTGGCGAGGGAAAGTACGTGGGCGTGATGACTAGGGAAGGTTTAATGATTGGGCGTGGTGAGGGGAGGGTGTATCGAATGGGCGTAGTGAAAGTAACGTAAAATATAAAAATTAATAAAGAGGAGTAAATTAAATATTGACAACACAAGATACATATTGTATATCGGTTCTCACTCTTGATTTATTTTTTATTTTTCTATTTATTTGTGGTTAATGTTATTTTTTATTATTATTTTATTTTTATTTTATTAATTATTATTATTATTATTATTATTATTATTATTATTATTATTATTATTATTATTATTAATATTATTATTATTATTATTATTATTATTATTATTATTATTATTATTATTATTATTATTATTATTATTATTATTATTATTATTATATTTTCGCCCCCCAGGCTCTGATGTGGGTCAGTGACCTGTGCCCGGATGGGGCAATCTCCATAAAAAAAATGTAGTGAGAAGTAAAAAGAAAAAAGTACAAAACAGGAAGTGACAGAAGGGCGGGAAATATGCTCAGGATTATTCCGAACTTGTTCTTGTAATCATAAGCGTTCGAACTCTCCAATAAATATTCGAATACCATGGAACCTGGGATGAACGAACATTTCTAGTTAGGATAGAGTTTCAGCTCAATTCGACGCCGTACTTCCAAAGTTGTCGCAGCAGACGAGTGATGTGAATGACCTGATCACTCTAAGTTCAGTATGACGATAGTGTCAGTGTCTGTATACGTAACTTTCTGTCTGCTTATGTATGTGTTCATGTGTTTAGGTATATATGTACGTATTCCACCAAGATTTTTTTCAAGATGTAGGGAACTGACTTTGGAGGTATTTTACACTCGCAGGTTTTCAGCTTTAGTCTAATAGTATTCAGTTCTGGGTACAGTTGAACCAGAGTCAAGGTCACAGCTGCCAAGTCGGAGTGGCTGCCCTTTGAGCTCTCCAATATGATTTAATGCATCTTTTGTCTTGCTAATTCACGATTAATCCATAACTCAGTTTTCGGACCACGTGAAGATTAGCGTCCACCTAGTGTATAGTATTTCACATAAAGATTAATCACTCTGCAGCTAACGTAGAATAACCTAACCTAGCCTCCAGGTAGTGTTAGGGTGTTAAATCATCAGGTGATATAAGCTGTGGGTTAATCATCAGGTGATACCGATTATAGACGGAGATTTTTGAATACACACTTGATAATTGAGTGGAAGTTACATGCAATAAAGTATATTCAGGTGTCCAGTCATATATGCCCTAGCTTGTACACTAATTTATATAGATAAGATTCGTAGCGGGATTTAGCCTTGTGGTTGCGTTTTGTTGTTAATCCTAAGTTCAGTGCTAAGGGAAGGTACGAATTATTGTGTGTAGCTCAGAGTGTTGTTGGGTACGGCGGGGCAAGGGATACGGGACGCTCTCACGGACCTGGCATATTACACAGTACTTTGTATTGTTAGCAGAGGCGGATTCAGGAGAGGGTTTCCGTGGGGTCATTTACCCTCCCTGGTCACCCATTATAAAACAGCTCTCACCCCTGTTAAAGTACAAAGAAATTTCCCTCTGTTTCTGTCGGTTTTGTAATGTACACTTGGTCTAAAAAAATCTGTACAATTTTGTGTTAGACAATAATTATGACAACGGACGAAGGATTTTAACATCCCTACCGAGACAACTGGTGTCGCAATGTTCATTTTGGATTTCATCGAACCCATCGGTAAAGATACTTTTTGGAGTGAGTGTACCTGGTGTTGGATTCTCGGAGGTTCTGAGTTGAATGATCCCAGGAAGTGAAGATTTAAGAAAACACCTTCCTGGTTGACTTAAGCGAAAAACACCAAAACGAATTCGAAAATTAGCAACAAAATTATACTCAACCGCTACACGAACTAGATACGTCCATTAGAAACTTTCAATAAACAGAATGAACGTCGACAATCTTTTAGGAAAGATTCATTACGTTCTTTTTATCTCGACAGTTATTAAGTGAGCGTATTTACTTCATGTATAACTTTGTCACTATATTTGGATATTTTTTTAGCGTTTCATCTTAATTCAACCAGTTAGGTACATTGTTAATTTTTAATTTGATGAATGTTTGTCATACTACGGTAACTTTAAAGAAGTCGGATCAGACGGCAGGTGTTGTGGTGTTAACACATGACAGAGATGTTGACACTGAGTTTATATGGATGGGGAAGGGGGAGGGTATGTCATTGATTCTGAATCTGGTATGCAAAATTAAATATGGCATGCATCATTGACCATGACGTCTGGCACTGAATACCGCACGGTTAAACACGACCACCGGTTAAATTATGCATGTAATATAAAACACTACATGCAATATTATTATTATTAGTAGTAGTAGCAGTAGTAGTGGTAGTAGTAGTTACTAAAGATTTGGATAAATTAGATGGATGTCAGGACCAAATCGGACGGTAAAAACTGGTTTGATAAGACCCCGTGGAAGTCGCATTTACACTCTGGATCCCTGACAGAAGCTTGCTCCACTTTGGATTACAAGAACAAGTAACATTCGTCAGTCAATATTTACACAGAGATTTATGGCTCGTCATCATGCCCGGGCGAGAATGAAAGTTCTAGCGTGAGTGTACAAATTCACCGCACCGTACTGGGTGTTGAGTAAATGACTAATGCTAATGTTGACAGAACGATCCTTACAAGGAGATCAAACTCAAGATTTGTCGCACTCCACATGAATATTTCCATCACCCACCACACCCTACACCAACACTCCAACACCCCCACACCCTACACCAACACCCCACACCCTACACCAACACCCCACACCCTACACCAACACTCCCTTCACCAACACTCCCTTCACCTGCTACCTATGCAACACACAACACTAACACACAACACACAACACCCCACACTCTACCCAGCACCCCACCCTACCAACACCCACCACCTACACAACACCCCACCCTACACAACACTCCCTTCACCAACACTCTCTTCTGCCACCTTATACCAACACTCAACACCCCACCTACCCAACACTAACATAACACCCCCACACTCTACACCAACACACCAACACCCCCACACCCTACTACATGAACACAAACAATTCGTCGGTGACTGGAGCCATTAACCTATCAAGCCTGACTAGTTGTAAGGCAAGACTCCTCATTTATCAACCTCACCCTGGCAGTGGTCCTAATGGCTAGCCCACCACAGGCCCTGATGGCTAGCCCACCAAGAGGCTTCAGGGTCCTCTTATTTCTTCCTCCTCTTAATGAAGACTTTAATAATAACAAGCCACCACGATGAGTTATGTAAACATCACCCGGCTTCTTATGTCAAGGTTGTGGACACGAGAAAACCTGTATCAATGAGGAAGTTCTTTAACATAACAATCTGACATTCTCGGGCCAACTCATGCATTACGAAGCATGTTATTCCTGAGATAATGTTTAATATATGCAATTGAGGAATCACCTGAAGATTAAACACCCCAGCTTATTTCCCTTGAAGGTTAAATGCCCAAACACCACCTGGGGGGGGGGGGGGTAGGTTAGGTTTGCGATAGGGTGATTAATCTTCAAGTGAGATAAGCTGGGGTGTTTAATCTTCAGGTGATGAAATGTGAGAAGGTCAGGATTGCCTGCATTTGATTATTGATTAGTAGATTACGAAGAAATTTTTAATGACTGTTGAACTGTTTTTATTTTAGTTGTGACAGCTTGTTGGTGATGGTAAAGTACATACGATATTATTAATGTTTTCCTGAAGTTATATTGTATTTGGTGCTGTAGTCACTCATTATAACTAAAATAAACCATACTTAGTGTTGCTCTCCGCGGGCCTGGCAAGGATTGGATTTACATAGAGCTGGACAAAATACCTTCCAGCAGACTTCATGATATATATTGTGTTACTTCGTTTAGTGTTTAATTATAATGAGCTTCAGTGACACTTATGAATGACGAGAGATTAACTGTCAGGTGATAAATAATTGTGAGCAGCATTATTGGCTAGCTGGTGAGGAGATTAATTTATTTTCATGTCTATGCAGCTGAGGTTCTCGAAGTGTCGTGTTTTGTACATCTCTTCTCCTTAACTAACAAATTCCTTTTAATTATTTTTTTTTATTCCCAAACAAATATATCGTAATTGGGTTATATAATTCTATAAGTCTCCCGCTGTCTAACTGTGTGACGAGACCTGAAGAATGTTGCGAGCTGTGGAGGTGAAGATGTAAACACTCCCCGCACCCTAGAGGCAGGACAACATCTACCTGGTATGTTAATGAGTAGCTCGTTACGTCTACCTACGCTCCATAAGATCCGTGCTGACGATTCATTGACCTCCCCTGACCTATGCCCGACACTGGTTAACCTCAACTCGGGGAGAATATTGAGCGAGGTTTGTGAGGTGAATTATGAGATGATGGTGTAGTTGGGTGATACTTCCTTCACATTGGTTTGTTGATTAAGACACATGACTCCTCTCTAGGAAGTCGTCGAATACACCCTAACATGTGACGGGGGAGGTAAGGTTAGGTTACCGTTAGTGTTTATTCCTCAGGTGAAATAAGCTATAATGTGTTTAAGCTTCACACATGATCCGATTCTAACTTCTTTTAACTAAGACATTTTCGTATAGCTGTAATGATGTATTTACTTTATGATGTTATCATGTATTGCTGCACTTCAACAACTATGGTCCTTAAGCTCGTATCCCCCCTCCCCTCAAAAAAAAAAAAATAAATAAATATAATATACACTAGTCATCTAAGATTTTAATTTAAGATAGTTGTCTTTAACACATATTAAAAAAAAATATCACAAAAAAACTAGTTGTAGTAAGTTGCCAAGTTCCTCAATAATAGGTGTTGAGAATACATGTCTCATTTTCCAGTTACTGACGTTCATTTGTTTTGAGAA